TTGTCAGTTTGTTGTGTTTGCTCATTGTGTCTGTCTGTGCTCAGGACTGTGAGGATTGGCTGCTGGAGCCGATCCATCTGTCGGTTTCCCTTGCACTTCAGCCCGTTACTCCTCGTGAACCCACACTATTTCCCTGTCCTGTCTGGTTTATTCTGACTGTGTCAAATAAACTTTTAGTTGCATTTTGGATCCTACTCTGAATCTTCATTATTGTGACAGTCATTTGATGTTGTTATTGGACATCAAAATAACATGTAACATTGACGCTGACTAGACATTAAATTTTGGTCACCTGATGTCATGACCTAAATCTAACCTAATATTAGCATCTTATAATGTTGTGTGCCTGCTAGGTTGTGTTCAACCAGCCTGATCTCACGAGAAAACGTAAGTATTTTACGTTTTGGCAGTTTAGTGGCTAATTCGTACGAATTCGTACGAGTTCAGTCGTAAGAAAATGTACTTTTTTAAAAAGGAGGCGTGGGACCTAACCCCACCCCTAAACCCAACCGTCATTGGGGGATACGCAAATCGAACTAAAATGTACAAATTAGATTGTACGAATTTGTACGAATTAGCCACTAAATGAAAAAGTTATGAATTGCCGTGAGATTGTGTTGGTTCAACAGAAGAAAGAAACTCCTAAAGATTTGGATCAAGTGGAGGATTAATAAATGATGACAGGATTATATCCCTTTAAACATCTATGATTGGATGATCTTTAACACAGTGATTGATATGTTGTTCTTTCTAGTGTGTTTGGCAACAATTAAAACCTAAGCAATGCAGTGTGCAGCTTTTTGTGTTTAGTGTTTAATCCAAATAATCATGTTGAATGACATTTCCCAACCAATACTCAAATTTACACACATAAAATGGAAATTGAACTCAACTGAAGGTCTTTCAGATGCGCTGGAGTGGATTTTAGAGATTTTATTTCTCCTCAGCAACGTATGGAAACCATCTTTAGGAGTATCTTCAGCTTTTATTACAGTGTGCATTATTTCGACAATCTTTTGCAATGTCACAAAGTTTATTTTCATCAAGACGTGCATTCATTTTTATATTGATAAAGGGAGCATGTGAGGTGATAATGAGGTCAATCAGTAGTCTGAAAATGAAGCATTCTTTCAAAATGTAAGTCTCAGGAACCTTCTGAAATGAAAGACTCGCATGCATTTCACTCACTGGCAGAAACATAAATTGGCACCTTCAGTATGAGCTGTCATGTTTTGCTTGCGTAAGGAGCTGTCATTCAAATACTTGTGAGTTTTGACACATTACTGTCCATGCTCTGGCTGAACATTACACATTTCTTGATAACTCTGAGTATGGGTAAAATTTGACGTGACTCTTTTGAGTGCAGAATTGTGACAAATGGTTATCTGCAGTGATGTAAATTTGCAGAAATGTCCATGTGGAGACTGTGGTCTAATTTCAGTATTCGATTTAATACCACATACAGCTAAAATCAGAATAATTCACTCTCCTGTGATTATTTTCTTTTTCAAATATTTCCCAAATGATGTTTAACAGAGCAAGTAATTTTTCACAGTATTTCCTATAATATTTTTTCTACTGGAGAAAGTCTTATTTGTTTTTATTTAGACTAAAATTAAAGCAGTTTTTGTTTTCGGATGTCTACAGAACCAACCATTATTATACAATGACTTGCCTAAGTACCATAACTTGCCTGATTAACCTAGTTAAGCCTATAACAATAAAAATAATAATAATAATTTTTATTTACTTTCCAGAGCTCAAGGACACTTTAAAAGGAATGCAACAAAAGATAAACAAACATACATGAGGTCAAATATAACAAACTTGAATAACACAAACAAGACCTAAGAGACATATGAGCAGAGTAGTGGTGGATCAGATTAAGTGGTCAGTTTGGCAGATCAGAAGCGAAGCATTCAGAAAATAAGTGAGTCTTAAGTAAGGATTTGAATTCAGAGATATTATTAGCAGAGCGGAGTGAGTGTGTTAGAGAGTTCCAGAGTTTGGGTGCAATAACACTAAATGATCTGCCCCCCATTGAAGAGAGGCGATACCGAGGGACAGCAAGAAGGCCAGAGTCGGCAGACCGTAAAGAGCGAGTTGGGGTGTTGGGGACAAGCATGTTGCAGAGATAGGAGGGTGCAAGGTTATTTAAGGATCTAAATGCAAGGAGGAGAATTTTGAATTTAATCCGGTATGCAACCGGGAGCCAAATTTTTAAATGTTCAAATGTACATTTAAAGTTTAAACTTTAAATGTATCTGTCATAAACACCAGCTATCTAATCCTGACAGATATGTGGACTACAAGTTTCAGTCATGCACTTCACTCACACACCTGGCCTAGATTTCCCATAATTGCAAACAGACAAAGCTGAAGCTGTTTATGACTATCTACACATACTATTTACACACCTCTCAAGCACACACACATTGCTGAGTCTTGTTATACTGAATAGTGACTATTACGTGTTTTTCTTGCCTTGCTGGCTTTAACCCTCGTCTTGTTTGTTTGTTTGTTTATGTTGTCTGCTGCCTGCCTGTACTGACCTATTGCCTGTGTATTTGACTACGACTCTGGATTTGCCCGCATACATCTGTTTGCTTCTGATTGTGACCGGTGCTTGCCTGACCATTCTCATAATAAACCTGCGTTTGGATCTACATTTCCTTGTCAGCGTCCCACGTCACATTACAGACACTTCAAGTTGAATACTAGCATTTTGATAAATATCCTGTAAAATACTATGCACTGTCATCATGGCAAAGATAGAGAAATCAGTTATTCGAAATTAGTTATTAAAACTATTAGAAATGTGTTGAAAAAAATCTTAGTTCCGTTAAACAGAAATTGAGGAACAAAATATGCAGGGGGGCTAATAATTCAGACTTCAACTCTATAAAATAAGTTTTAAAAGAATCAGATTTCATGCAGTTTGTGACAAACATGTAAGCAAAAAAACAATCAAACACTAATTTGAGCCACATATTACTGCAGTCAACTTATTCATACTAGTCAATGCAATAAAGAGCTTTTTGTGTATAAGCAGTATGGACAAATAATCAAATAATTGTATTACATTGCTTAAGGGAATTATATTATAGTTTACAGCGCATTCTTACACCACAAAAGCAACAATTTATGCGCTTAGTCATTTTTGTTGGTTCCAAAGAGGTCACTGATGTGTAAATGTGTGAGATTATGTGTTAATGCATTCATTGTTATGACAATGAATATATTAGCACATGATATGAATACATTAACTGAACTTGTCATGTTTGTGCTTCTCTTGTTGTTGCTGATATAATTTTTTTTCTGGTAAATGTTAAAAAAATATTTGTAATATATATGTACTTTTTTGTGTCTATATACAGTTGAAGTCATAATTATTAGCCCCCCTGTTTATTTTTTTTCCCCCAATTTCTGCTTAACGGAGAGAAGATTTCTTCAACACATTTCTATACATATTACTTTTAATAACTCATCTCTAATAACTGATTTATTTCATCTTTGCCGGTAGTAAATAATACCGTAAATCTAGTAAATAATATTTGACTAGATATTTTTCAAGACACTTCTAAACAGCTTAAAGTGACATTTAAAGGCTTAACTAGGTTAATTAGATTAACTAGGCAGGTTAGGGTAATTTGGTAAGTTATTGTATAATAATGGTTTGTTCTGTAGACTATCGAATACAATTTTGCCTAAAGGGGCTAATAATTTTGTCCTTAAAATGATGTTTAAAAAAAATTTAAACTGTTTTTATTCTAGCCGAAATAAAAAAATAAGACTTTTTCCAGAAGAAAAAATATTATCAGACATACTTTGAAAATTTTCTTGCTCTGGAACACATCATTTGCTAAATATTTAAATGAGAAAAAAAATTAAAAGGGGGTCTAATAATTCTGACTTCAACTGTATGTGTGTGTTTTGTGACATATAGGACACAGATTTGTTTATGACATAAGCATGGCAGGTGTTATAAGACAAAGTTGACTTATGAGGACATTGTCCATACTCTCATATTTTAAAATCCATCTAATTATAAAGAATAATTATTTTTTTAGGAAGTAAACATGAACACATTGACCTGGGTTTGGGGATAGGGTGATAGAAAATAGTGTGTACAGTATCAAAACTATGGAAACCTATGTAATGTCCCCACAATTCACAAAAACAAACGTGCATGTGTGTGCTTTATTTACTTTTTATATAATATATATATATATATATATATATATATATATATATATATATATATATATATATATATATATATATATATATATATATATATATTATGTCATATATAAATTGTATAATTGGCTGCAAGGTGGCTCAGTGATTAGCACTATCGCCTCACAGCAAGAAGGTTGCTGGTTCGAGCCTCAGCTGGGTCAGTTGGCATTTCTGTGTGGAGTTTGCATGTTCTCCCCGTGTTGGCAGGGGTTTCCTCCGGGGGCTCCTGTTTGCCCCACAATTCAAAGACATGCGCTATAGGTGAATTGGGTAAGCTAAACTGTCTGTAGTGTATGTGTGTGAATGAGTGAGTATGGATGTTTCCCAGTGATGAGTTGCAGCTGAAAGAGCATCTGCTGCATAAAACATATGTTGAATAAGTTGCCGGTTCATTCCGATGTGGTGACCCCTGATTAATAAAGGGACTAAGCTGAAAATAAAATGAATGAATGAATATAAATTGTAAGATGGGCGGCACAGTGGCTCAGTGGTTAACACTGTCTCCTCACAGCAAGAAGTGGCCGTAGTGTATGAGTGTGTGTTTGAATGTGAGAGTGTATGGGTGTTTCCCTTTACTGGCTTGTGGCTGAAAGGGCATCAGCTGTGTAAAACATATGCCGGAATGGTTGGTGGTTCATTCCGCTGTGGTGACCCCTGATAAACAAAGGACTAAGCAGAAGGAAAATGAATCTAGCAGTATTCAGGTAGACTGTCCACCTTCTACATTAGTGAATTTGTCAGTGTTTGTTGTTTCTGACCCTTCATGTTGCAGGTGACTCTGAACGGCTCCAGGGATCCGCTGCCATCCGGATCGATCCAGTATGTGTCCGAGCTTCGGCCCAAGTGTTTGTACTCCTCGCAGGACTGCTCATACACAGCTGCAGAAACACACAGAGTAAGCATCAAAACTGCCCCTGCAGCAAGAAAACCCACCACGCCAGTCAGCTAAATAAATAATGCACAAACACAAGTAAATCTTGCACATGCCAAATCCAAACAAAACAATCTATTATGTAAAGATTCAAATCGAGATTCAAAAAAAAGGTATTTGTGTCGACTACAAAATATAAGGCATCAGTTTATTTCTTTATAACACTGTATGGCAGTTATTGATCTGAACTGGTTGGATACAACATTCCAGAAGGTGGCACGGTGGTTCAGTGATAACTGTCGAATGACTTTCTCTGTCTCTTAAATATTAATAATTGAAATAAATTACCATATAAATATACATATGACCACCCCTATAACGGTTCCTACCATTGTGAATGTATAATCGTGTTATATAATGTCAAAAAGTGTTAACAACAGGACACTTTTCTCATAACATAAGTGTTTGTCTTTACATTACCTAAAAGTAAAGTTAATTTAGACATTTAGTTTGTATAATTTGACCTACACTAACCTCTACAATGGCTAACTAGGTTACTTTAGACAAGAATACACTAAATAATTATCAAAACACTAAAAACCTAAGTACGTTTTATTCATAAATAAGATGTAATTTAAATAAATACATAAATTTGATTCACTGAAGCATGTATTGCACAATCTAACATTACAGAAGAAGTTATTATATTACTTCAAGCTACTAAAATGTCAATAAAAAGCACTCTGTTAAAACTGAAGAGTTGAGTTTTCAACATCAAAACTGGACAGAGCTGAGATAAAACTCCCATAATGCAATTCAAAACTGTAAATAAACAGAAAACACGTGTGAATCACTAAACACAGAAGCTGTTGACTAACAGATATTTTTTACAGAGCAGTGTTGGTTAGCTACTTCAAAAAAGGTAATTGATTACTAATTACTAATTAGATCCTCACAATTGTGTTTAAATTTATTTTCTAATTACTTTATCTGAAAACTAAATTAATAAGTAATTTACTTCCTTGACTAAATCTACATAAATCACAATGTCTGATTATGGAATTTTGACTCAAATTCTTTACATTTGTGTCAAACAGGATATTTTAGGTTTAATAATACTTATATAAACAATATTAGTATAAAATCTCAAAACATTTCACCATACTTCATACATATCATAAATTGCCATCAATTTACATTTCACTTTTTTTTAAGCTTGTGCATTTGGACAAATAAAACTTTCTTTAGTTGAAATATTTTGTTAAAATGCACAATATCGGAATAACAAAACATTACTATTTAAAATGACTCTTTCCTAAATTAAAATGATTAATTGCTGAATTAATAGCATTTTTGGTCATGCACTAAACTCTTTAGTGATTTTTTCTTAAGCATATGCACTTATCTTGATAAAAGATACATGGTTTTAGTTTCATAGATAATATCTATTACTTTGCTTCTCTGAATTGAATTATATGCTTACTAGAGATGCGCGGATGGGCTATTATTTCATCCGCAACCGCATCCCAAAACTCATCATCCGTCCGCCATCCATCCGCACTAACATTTTTGACCAAATTTTAAAACCGCACCCGCCCGCCATCTGCTGACTGAGCTCTTTATTTGAATGGCTTATTCATTTACATTTACATTTACATTTAGTCATTTAGCAGACGCTTTTATCCAAAGCGACTTACAAATGAGATAATAATAATAATAATAATAATCCTTTTTATTATTAAATGAATGTTTCTTTATTGATTATTAGAAAATAGAGAATGACTTTAATGACATGCAGTTAATCCAAACGTGCAAGTCAAATCCAGCATTAATTGACGCTTTGAAGTGACGCTAAACAATACGAGGACGTGTCTTTTCACTTGATTCAATTCCTCTGTCCTTAAGTCTTTTCCTTGCCTCCTTCCCTAGCATCCTATAGGGGTGGAAAGACGATGAAAGAAAGCAAGGAAAGGAAACGAGGATACACAAATAAGAATTGAGAAGCACCCCTATAAAGCTCTCAGAATATCAGCAGTGAACTCCGTCTCCAATTGGCGCACAGGGACAAAAATAAATAAATAGCCTAAATTAAACGGACTGTACTGTACAATTTTTTTTTATTATTATTGTAGCCTAATAGAAAACGCATTTTGACACATCATTTCAACATTCAGACGAGAGCACCTGGCCTCAATGCGCCCTGCTGCACTACAGGAGCGCTCGCTCGCAGCACTTGTTGCTGGAATGCATAGAATTCTCTTGGCAAGGAGCTGTAGTCGTGGGAATGACTGGCCTTGTTTCTCCTAAAAGGAAAGTAGATTTTCCTCTGCTGATCCGTCTATACGGAAGTTTGTAGAGGAATACTTCTGTACTTCATCCAGAATTAGTGTATCCGATTCCTCCTCTCATTCTGTGAAGTCAGTCTTAGGCTTTTTCGTTGGTGCGCCAGCTATGTGTACAAAAACAGTACAACCGCCCGCCACCCGCCCGAATTTAATTAAAATTGTATTTTTCGTCACGTCATCCGCCCGATCCGCGGTTTATCCGCGGATTCCGCGGCTGTAACCGCCATCCGCGCATCTCTAATGCTTACAGCAAGAAGGCCGCTGATTCGAGCTTCGGCTGGGTCAGTTGGCATTTCTGTGTGGAGTTTGCATGTTCTCCATGTGTTGGCGTGGGTTTCCTCCGGGTGCTCTGGTTTCCCCCACAGTTCAAACATATGTGTTATAGGTGAATTGGATTAAGTAAATTGGCCGTAGTGTGTGAATGTGTGTGTGAATGTGAGAGTGTATGGGTGTTTCCCAATACTGGGTTGCGACTGGAAGGGCATCAAGGGCATCGTTGTCAAAATAAGCTCAGATGAATGTGTGTGTTTAGATTCGAGATGCTTACAGTTGTGGCAGGTGGCGCCAGAGTATCCAGTGCCCTCACAGGCACACTTAAACGTGTCTTCAGTTTGAGAACACTTGCCTCCATGTTCACAGTGGTTTGGGACACACCTGGAGACACAGAGAGATTAAATGTGAAATTAAAAAGAAGCTGTCATAATATTTCTTCTCTTTTGTGATGTGCTTCTCTGGTACTGACTTAACTAATGTATATGCATACATATCCTATCATAGCATCCTATAGAATATATTCTGTACATATTGATGAATTCCGTGTAATTTATTAACATTGTATTTCAAATAATATATTTCTTTGCATTAAATATACATTACCTGGGACTATTTTGAGTTGCCACTTTTTCTGACGCAACACCAGTTGAGAAGAACTACACTGACTCATTGCCCTGCTTGATAATCTGCCCTGCTTTGTAAGTCTGTAAAGCTTCATTTTGGCAGTTCTTAAATCCTGTCTGCAGGAGTATCAGATCAACGGAGAGGTTCCCCTGATCGTGCATGTTCCTGATCAAACGGGGCAGGACACGTGACAGAGCTTTGAGGAACTCCTGCTGAAGTCAGTCAGATGTAGCTTACATAAGCCGCTTCACAGCTCTGAAACTTCCCTCTAATAAAGCAATCAAGGACCCCGACTCAAGGAACAGCGCTTTTTACAGAGACTGAGCAAAAATGACAATCAAAATACAGCGGCGGCTTTGATCAAAGGCAAGCATCTGTTCTGCATTAGTTTGCGCAGTCATTTGTTCATGCATGAATATGGATACGCGCAGGGGCTTGACTTTATCGCGAAGGGACGTGACATTACCATATGAAAAGCAAAGCTGTGAGGAGAGCGCTTGTTGACTTTTGCAAAGCAGAATATGCATAAATTGGTCACATTTTTTGAGTAGTTGTATGCAAATTTACATCTGGCCTCTCTATCGGTCTACATTGAGACTGAATTACCTGTCTATGATGGCGCACATATCCAGGCTGACGTTCTCGAAGCTACCCAAAACGCCTTGCTCCACAGACTGCAGGTCCATAAACTGGTCGTCCACATGAATGAGCTGCATGCAGCCCTGAAATGAGCGCTGTGATGGAGAAAGATCAGTCCGTGGGAAGTATCCTGCACATGGAGACAAGAAAAACCTGAAATCTCGGTGCGGGTTAAACATTGTAGAACGTACAACCCCAAATCAGAATGGGACAGTATAGAAAACACAAATAAATAAAGAAAGTAGTGATTTCCAAATTTACTTTGGCTTTTTGTCTGGTCAACTTCACTTCATTTGTAAATAAACCCTCTTTCCTATCATTCAGACCTGCTGCAACACATTCCAAAAAAAGTTGTGAGAGGAGCAATTTCGGGCTAGTGTAGGGGTGGCCAACCCTGTTCCTGGAGAGCCACCTTCCTGCAGATTTCAGATGCAACTCATAGCAAACACACCTGAACCAATTAAGTAGGACCTGAACACCATGTGATAATTACAGGCAGGTGTGTTTTATATGGGTAGCAACTGAAATCTGCAGGAAGGTGGCTCTCCAGGAACAGGGTTGGCCACCCCTGGTCTAGTCCTTTAGGAGCAAAGATGGGCCGAGGATCACCAGTTTGCCAACAAATACTTCACCTTCAACAGCGCATAACCCAATCAAAAGATTCAAGATATCTGGAGGAATTTCAGTGCGTAAAGGAGAAGGGTGCAAGCCTAAGCTGAACAACCATGATCTCTGATCCCTGAGGCGGCACTGCATCAAGATTCCTCTATCATCTATAAGCCATATCACCACATGGGCTCAGGACTACTTTGGCAACCTTTGTTAAGTATTACTAAGGGTGTCACGATTTAGGTTTTTAATCGAAATCGATCGAAATTTATGCTCAACTTCGACTATCGAATCAAAAAATAGAATCATCGATGCTGCTACGCCCCCATGTCATGTTAGCTTAGCTTGCCAAGCGGGAAAATAACATGCTTGTTGAAGTGCTTGTTAAACTGCAGACGCAGGAGACCCGTCGACAGAACTTAAACCCTCTCCTCTTTCAATGAAGTCGCCGATGTAGAAGTATTTTGGATTTCCAGTTAGTTATGTTGACAACGTTCGTGTTGTCGACAAAAAAACACAGTTTGCAAGCTCTGCTATGTACGTATTATGGTTGGGATGATAGACGATGGGCGCATCGCGATCCTCCGCTCCGCACCCGTTGCAAATCCGCTCACGAAAAATACACACTCAGGCCCTGTTTACACTGTCTTTGTTTTTAAATGACATTTTAGAACGACAACGATCCACATCCACACTGGCGTGTAGCATTTCTGAGCAGCCCTCCTTCCTCTCTACCACTGAAAACGCACATCACGTGACCACACACTCATTCAGGCACATAGACGCACACACATTGTCATGCGCTCGAGACAGCGGGTCAAGGCAGTCAGCGGGTCAGTAGACTGCTTCCATCTTTTACTTTCACACAAGTACTTAGTCATTTTAGCGAAAACCTCAGATACTGTTGGCTGGTTTCTGTTGGTTGTGCACCTTTTTTACCGACGCCATTATAACAACACAGATCACTGCCAATTCACTAGTCACGCAGAAAAAAGCGATTGACAGGTGGTAATTATGTGTGTAACTTGCCTTTATTCATTTACTGCATGATTTGTTTATGGGTAAAACAAAGACCATGCAGGTCAGGTAGTTTAAACGGTAGGCTACAAATAATTAATTCGTTATTAATTAATTAATTATTCATAATCGAATATCGAATCGAATCGTGAGTTTAGAATCGAAAATGTAATCGAATCGAGGATTTGGAGGATCGTGACACCCTTAAGTATTACTATACATAGCTACATCCACAAATGCTAGTTAAGGAAGCCCTATGTTAACAGTGTCCAGAAGCGCCATCGACTTCTCTGGACTCAGAGGCATCTGAGATGGAGCATCACTCAGTGGAAACCTGTACTGTTGTTCAGATGAATCAGTATTTAAGTTGCTTTTGATGATATATGTGAAGGACTGGTGACCCAATCACCGATAATGATTAGCTGCTAACAACAAAGTGCGTCACCTAACCTCTTGTCTACCTCTCGGACTACACAGTCACACATACGCCGAGTTTGGCCAGGCTGAGGATTAAAGCTAATAATATTTTAAATTATGTCCAATATTCTACACGAATCAATCGTTTTAAGACCTCAGTAAGGCATCAGGAGCCACTTTATTGATTAAGACTTATGTATGTGTTTATTTTGAATCTAAAAAAACTAATACCATTCACTGACATTATATGAATAACCACGATTCAGCTGGATTCAGCTAAAAATCTCTTTAATGTTCTACTGAAGAAATAAAATGGGTGAGGATATTAACATGAAATCTTCATATTTTGGGTGAACTGTCCCTTAAACAGCACTTGGGTAATATTTGGAAAACATTACAAATTTCACAGGAGGGTTCATATTTTTGTCTCCAACTGTATTAAAATGATTACCATTCAAAAATAAATGCTGATGATTCACTTACCTCCGAAAAAATAATCTCCTCCAGTCCTGATCTGCATGGGCAGAGCAGCTCTCACGGTGGACATCTCGTCTCCATTAATGGTCAACATGGCAATGCTCTCTAGTGCCAGAAAATGAACGCTGTGCCACTGTCCATCATTTAGACCAGAGCCTGCACAGACAAATGGTTAACCTGCATGAGCAATCGTCAGTTTATTCCTATGCAGTTTTCTGTTCTGGATACTTGCTAGAGGAAGGAAAAGAAGTTCTAAATGCATGTGATGCTATGCTAAAGTGATGCGAGAATATTCTTAAAGTTTGAAGAAGAACAAGCATTTTTGAGTAGGCATTCAATATGAATCATTGGGATGCTTATGCTATATATATATATATATATTTATATATATATATATATATATATATATATATATACACAGTTGAAGTCAGAATTATTAGCCCCCTTTTGATTTTTATTTTCTTTTTTAAATATTTCCCAAATGATGTTTAACAGAGCAAGGAAATTTTCACAGTATGTCTGATAATATTTCTTCTTCTGGAGAAAGTCTTATTTGTTTTATTTCAGCTAGAATAAAAACAGTTATTAATTTTTTTAAAAAACATTTTAGGGACAATATTATTAGCCCTTTTAAGCTATTTTTTCTCAATAATCTACAGAACAAACCATCTGTATACAATAACTTGCCTAATTACCCTAACCTGCCTAGTTCACCTTATTAACGTAGTTAAGCATTTAAATTTCACTTTTAACTGTATAGAAGAGTCTTAAAAAATATCAAGTAAAATATTATTTACTGTCATTTTGACAAAGAGAAAATAAATCTGTTATTAGAAATACATTTTTAAAACTATTATGATTAGAAATGTGCTAAAACAATCTTCCCTCCATTAAACAGAAATTGGGGGAAAAAATAAACAGGGGCGCTAATAATTCAGGGGGCTAATAATTCTGACTTCAACTGTATATTCATATATTAGGGGTGTAACGGTTCACAAAAATCACGGTTCGGTTCAATACGATACAGTTGTGTCATGGTTTGGTTTTCGATACAGCAAAAAAAAAAAAAGAGGATTTCTATGATTTAATTTTTTTGTATTAAAACTAACATCATAAAAGTATGATACTGTTTTTTTTCTTTTACTTTAAACAATGATAGAGCTATACTTTCGGGGTTTCTGCTTAGCAGCAAATAAAACAAATCCTTCTTTATACTCAAACCCAAAAAGCTGCTTATAAAAAATATATATATATATATATATATATATATATATATATATTTATATATATAATATTGTAGCAGTTAAACAAATAAAAAGAAAAAAAATATTTAGTTTTTATATGGAGCTCAGTTTCAATCAATTTTTAAGTATTTTTTTTTTTTTTTTCAGAAAGATGAGTGTCCACCTTTTCCTAAGCACAGATCTGCTTGATTTGACTGTCACCTGCCATTTCAGTACATCTGAAAGCAGGAATTATCTGACTGAAATGGGCTTATGAAGGAATATTGTAATGGGCTCTATTGCATTTAATATTTCCTTAAAACCCGACATTTTCGGATTCTCTTTTTGAGATCTCTCAGATGTTTTTTTTTTCCCACCACACTCTTGGTAGCGGTGATGGTGCGCGACGTATCTAAAAAGCGGTGGGGGCGTGTGCGTGCAATGTATTTAATGACTGGGGAGGTAGACGTGCGATTTCCAGAAGATTATCATTCTTTTGCTGGCATCCAGGAGTCTCCTGAAGCTTCCGGGAGACTTGGGATGTCTGAGATTACATTACGTTACTCGCTATTTTGCAAGCTATTGTAGTGTATCTGCAGTAGTGTTTGGAAGTTCGTTCTTTTGTGTCGGGGGTCCAGAGTTGCTGGGGCAGCAAGGCTGACACAGAAGCTAGTAAGATTGCTAATGAGTGCATGCTTTATTAAAGTGATATTCTGAGTTCAAAAGCGATGGTCTACTGTTTAACATGACAGCGAGGGAAGCATGTTGTATGCCACGTCATTTAGGATGCCATGTTGAGCGTTGTGGCACTGAAAACATAATATTTTGTACTTATTCCCTTTTATCTGTTTAGATGTTAGTCTGAATTGAATCGTTCGGTTTGTAATGCGCACTGAACCGAAAGTCTCGTACCGGATGGTACAATATGAATGCGCGTATTGTTACACCCTTAATATATATATAATTCTGACTTCAACAATATATATATATATATATATATATATATATATATATATATATATATATATTGTTGAAGTCAGAATTATTAGCCTCCCTGAATGATTAGCCCCCCTGTTTATTTTTTTTTCCCCAATTTCGGTTTAACAGAGAGATTTTTTTCAGCACATTTGTAAACATAATAGTTTTAAAAACTCATTTCTAAATTTCTAATAACTGGTGGATTTTATCTTTGCCATGATGACAGTAAATAATATTTGACTAGATAATTTGCAAGACACTTCTATACAGCTTAAAGTGATGTTTAAAGGCTTAACTGGGTTAATTAGGTTAACTAGGCGAGTTTGGGTAATTAGGCAAGTTATTGTATAATGATGGTTTGTTCTGTAAACTATCGAAAAAAAATGCCTTAAAGGAGCTGATAATTTTGTCCCTAAAATGTTTTTTTTTTTAATTAAAAACTGCTTTTATTCTAGCTGAAATAAAACAAATAAGATTTTCTCCAGAAGAAAAAATCTTATCTGTGAAAATTTCCTTGCTCTGTTAAACATAATGTGGGAAATATTTAAAAAAGAAAAAAATTCAAAGGGGGGCTAATAATTCTGACTTCCACTGTATATATAGCAAAAGTGCAAGCTGAAATCTAGAAAGAAAGTCCAGAAAGTGACAGAAGTGGGGGTGTATTGTTACCTGAGGATATGTCCACGCGTGTATTCTTGCCCAGAGTGACGTAGATGTGAACTGTAACTTTACCCTCCACCAGACTGACCTCCACCCCTCCAGGCATGAGCGGAGTAAAAAAGAGCAGGCCGCTGGGGTTCCACGTCCGAAACTGAAGCCTGACCGACACTGTGTCTGCATCAGTCCGACCTGGAAGCTGCAAGGAGCTGGTGGAGTTAAAGAAGGCAGGGAATGTTCGGGACTCCGTGCAGGAAAATGTCAGGTTATGCTGGTAGGAGGATGAAAAAAGCATATGGGAAAATTAATAATAGGAATGATTGTGACCATTAAAGGGAAAGTTCACCAAAAAGAATTGAATCTCTTCTTTTTAAAATAAAGATGATTTTTTTTTTTACTCCAGGAGAACATTTTTATATTAAAGATCTTTTTATATATATATATATATATATATATATATATATATATATATATATATATATATATATTGCAAGTCAATGAATATTGGCACTTAGAGAGTAAACATTAACATACTCTATTTTAATGATCTAGGCGCAAAGTCTAAATCAATGATCTAGGCGCAAAGTCTAAATCACATGGCACAAAAGCATTAAAGGCGTGTCTGAATTGACTTGTGCTATTTTAAGGATGAAAAATGTACTTTGCACCCCGGTGCATGGTCTAACATGGTTGTGCTTAATGAGTTTTGAGTGTTTTTGAGCATAACCTGCATTAAACTAATCAGAGTCTCGTCTTACATTCCCTTTAAGAGTCAGTTGCGTCGCACCATGGTGCATTTGCTATTTACATGGTGGACTTTGTAAGTGTAAAAACTGAACGCTTCACTAGAGAACAGTTAAACAGAGCATCTGCAGCGCGAGGATAAAGAACAAGCCTCCTTCATTCAGCCTCTTTACTTTTACTCTTTACTTCTTTCGTGGATTAGGAAGCGATGTTGTACGCACTCCACTGAAGACAACTATTAGCCTACATATTTAATTTCATTTGTTAGGGGCAGACGAAAACCTCTTTTCCACTGCACATATCATTCATTCATTTCCAATTTAGAGTAGTCCTGGAGCTGCGTGGAGTTTCAATCATCTTTGAATGCGGAAAATTCAGAAATTCCGATTTGAGCCGATTTTGACTTCGATTGACTTAAACGCGTTCAAAATAAGTGTCACGCACAATAAAGGCCTTCATTACACCAAGTTTTGCATCTGAAAATGAATAAACAACAAAAATAAAAATGTTCTCTTTATGTCGTTTTATAGAGGGATCTGTGTATTTTTGTATTTGTTTATTTGTGTTTGTATTCATTAATGTACATAGTTTTTTAGTATGTTTTTAGGTAAATCAGATTTTCTTTTTAATTATTTGTTTGTTAGTTTTAATATACAAAATAAAATTGTATAAACAAAAACAATTCAGACACTCAGTAACAAAGGTCAAATACAGTAAGAAACATTTTACTTTTTCAATATTTAAATAGAAATAAACTGGTACGAAATACTGTCCAAGTGCACTAGGTACAGAAAAGCAAAACTAAACAAGCAAACAAACAAACAAAAAATATTTAAATAAATTATTAAAAATCTTACTTTAATATGAATTTATTGCTGTAGTTCTAGGGATGGTAATAGACTAAAATTAGATTTTCTAATCCAGTTTTCTATGCCTGCACCTGTAAAAATGACCTCAGAGGCATACATGCTTACCTTGTTTTTCACAAAACTGCATAAAGCTCCTTTATAAAAGCCAAAAAGGTTTTTTGATTTTTCTCACTGATATTGTGATTTGATTTGTGACTTAATTTTGTGAATTCAGCTCAATAGTGCAGCACACACTTTAAACGAAAGGAATACAGCATACTTTAACTGTATATATATATATATATATATATATATATATATATATATATATATATATATATATATATATATATATTAACTGTCTATATAAACATGCATTTACAGACCATAACAGCTAATCACAATGTTACAGGATTTACAGTGAGTTTTTAAAATTCTTAAATAACTAAATTATTAAAACGGTGATACTAACTAGTGGTTTACTTAAAAGTGGTATTCATAACAACAAAAATAAAATATAATATATCCTGTGGGATATAATATATATATATATATATATATATATATATATATATATATATATATATATATATATATATATATATATATATATATATATATATATATATATATATAGTCAAAAATATATAACTCTCATATTTATATTATATTTTTAAATTATTTATTATATTTATAATTTAACTCTCAAAGTGCCGGTAGCCATTGACTTGCATTTCTTGATACTACAATTTCAGCTAAAAAATTTTATTTCATTTTCTACTGAAAACAATAGTCCCCTATATGTCTTGTATAGTCTAAGAGTGAGTAAACTAACAAAATGACAGTGAATTTGTTTCAGTTTTGGGTAAACTGTCCCTTTAAATAATTGATTACATAGCACTACAGGAAGGAATTATCACAAACAAAGTTCAGAGGGCAGATTCATTTGGGAGTTTTTTTTCAGGAAACCTGGAGAGTTCGCGTACTGGAAAATCCAGCTAAAACCAGCTCAAGATGTTTTTGTGAAGTTTTCTAGCAAATCCAGACTAGTCTAAATCTGCAGGAAATCCAGCAGGTGAATCTAAAGTTGTTTGTCAACTAAGATTGGCAGACAAAAAATTTATTTAATCACTTTTAAACTGGCATGTCCTGGTTTTTCCAGCACAGAGTTTGATAACAATCGCAACACATTATTAGTTATTGTGAATAATCACAGACCACAGACACACACAGATTAACGGCACTTCTCACTTCACGTCTGTCATCCTCTCACACACACAGAGCATTGTGGGAAAGGGAAGGAAGTCGGTGCTTATGATTGAGGCTAGAGAAGGGACAGGAATTTGAATCTACTAAATATTTAATGTGATACAAATGCAAACCTTCGGGAGCTGAGATTACTGTAAACAATACAAAGAATCCAATTAGAACGGTCACTGAAGCCACATAACACCTAAAATGGGCATTAAGAAAACCAGTGGGGTTGTTTTTGATGGCTGTTGATTTTAATTTAAAGAAATTAATTCTTTAAGAGTGGTTCTCAATGGGGTTGGGTTTTAAAATGATTTCATATAAGACGACTAAGATAAAACAGCTCAAAAGTACTACATTTTATTTCTAAATTTGATCTCAAAAAAACTGTATATTCTTTAAAAGGGAGATTTCTGGACACAGAAAATTGAATGCTATAATCTCAAGGACATTTCTATTATGAACACACACTTTCCAAGCAATCATCTACAGTAAAGTCACCCCTGGTAAAACACAAGGGGTCTGTGTTGTAAAAAACTTAAACTACAGTAAATCAAATGGTGCTTTAACAAAGTATTACTTTAAAGGTGTGCAACCACATTATTTTGTTTTTTATTTTTAGTTCCCCACACCTAAAAAAAGAGTTGAGTTTGTTTTTTTATGCAATTGTACATTATAGTTATAGTATAGTATGTTATAGTTTACATTAATGGTGGAAAAAGTTTTAAAATGATTTATTGTAATTTATTTATTTATTACAACAGAAAACCCTGCATTTTAACTGGGGTGTGAAAACTTTTTATATCCACTGGACATTTTAAAACAAGATAATATAGTTAGATAAAATACAGCACATTGGGAACATTGTTAGTTGTACTATTTGTTTTTATGTAACTGGTTGCAAACATTTTGTATGGCCTGAATTAAAAAAATAAATAAATTAATTTAGTAATGTTCTACCTGATTTGTTTGTTAACATTCAGCTCATATAAATTGTTTGCAACCACGCATATTAAAAATATATCTTTTTTTTGTTTATGTATTTTACATTTAATGTAACATTTCAATATGTAAAGACATTTTCATAATTATACAGTGCCTCCAGAATTTTCCAGTGATATTTATTTTATTTTTGTGGCCTAAAGGGACTGGTTTTCGCAAAATTAAGGCATTATTTGCTTATGTTTTTGAGTTTTGCTGTAAAAAAATATAAAATACAAGTACATTTGCTTCTCTTTTTAATCCAAAGAACCATTGGGCACAATAAATCCTGAAGGGATTGATTATGTAAAGCTTCTATATATAATATTGAGTAAAAAAATTCTGACACAATACCATTTGTGGATTTAAGAATTAAAACGAACCTTAGAAAATTCAATAATATGTTTCATGCATTCATTTTTAAACCCAGAAGAGGAATTATTTAAATGAAAAAGCATTCAGATGTGATCATAACTGAAATGTTATTTTATAAAGGTTTGATAATAAATTTTAAATATTTTCAATGATATTATTATTAACAATATAATATAATATAATAAAATATAATATAATATAATATAATATAATATAATATAATATAATATAATACAATACAATACAATACAATACAATACAATACAATAATATAATATAATATAATATAATATAATATAATATAATAGATTATAATATAATATAATATAATATAATATAATATAATATAATATAATATAATATAATATAATATAATATAATATAATATAATATAATATTTTATTGAAATGTTATATACAGAAATGTTTATCTTTTGGAATTGAACAATTTTTAAATAATAACTTTTTAAAATTAATATTAAAAATATGAAAATAATTAGTTAACAGTAACAATTACAATATATTTTAATAATAATTAAAATATTACAAATAATAATACATTACATTACATTAATTAAACCTCACAGCAGTTTCTGTTATTAATAATAAAAAATGTAAGAGTTGTAAGACCTATTTGCCTATCAGCTGAAGTATCTAACATTTTTTAACCTGCATCATCATGTCAAGCTTGTAAATATTATGTAAATAATAATAATAGGTCTTGTAATTAAAAGGTTGAGGATCACAGTTTTAGACTAACTTAATACCCAACCACAGCAGTCCTCAATACAGCGACTGAATAATCTCCACAAGGCACTGGAGAGCTCAGCAGTGATAAAAATAGACTTGTAAATTTGGCACGTACGAAGCTGGAGGTGTCTACTTTTCTCCTGCGTGCGAGGTTAGTGATGTTGTCCCCGTTGTAATGAATGGCCTCCATGCAGCCGATGTAGTTTTCTCGGCCTCCTGAGCTGGGCTTGGCCGACACTGGCATCCCTCCAAATGTAATCTGGGAATAGACGCCGAGATAAAGTGAAAGTGATGGAAACATTTACCATCCATAAATGCTGACAGGGTAACATTAATCTTATCCATGCACTCTCTCTTTTTAAATAAACGCCACCCGGTGCATGAAATCATATACAGTTGAAGTCAGGATTATTCGCCCTCCTGTGTATTTTCTTTTTTAAATATTTCCCAAATTAATAATAAATAAAATTAATTTAATAAAAAAATCCTTTTAAGGTCAATATTATTAGCCCCCTTAAACAATATATTTTTAGATTGTCTACAGAACAAACCACCGTCATACAATGACTTGCCTAATTGTGCCAACTTACCTAATTAACCTAGTTAAGTTCTTAAATGTCACTTTAATCTGAATACTAGTATCTTGAAAAAATATCTAGTTTAATATGATGTACTGTCATCATGGCAGAGATAAAAGAAATCAGTGGAGAGGCAGAAATGAAACGTGAGAGAGAAACTGAGTGATTATTATATAATATGCAAATACTTAATGGTGCTGTTGTCTATTCTGTGATATTATTACAGTTTATGCTATAATCCTAACATTGCATCAGTGTTTCTTATGTGTTTTAGTCATATTTTAGTAATCTATTTGATTATAAGTCTACAGTTTAAATTGTTTATGTTCACTCAAGACATTATTAGGTTACTGTCGCTTTAAGAGCTAATGCACAAATACAGTATACACATGCAATTTTCTCAAATCCTTAAATCAAGATACAATTACTTAAGAAGCTAAAAGACATAAGATAAGAAGTCATGTTAAAAAATACATAATATAAAAATAAAGAAACAATTAATCAAAGTTAAATCTGCTGATAAGTTAATAAAAATAAAACAATTCTTTTATATTGTTTAGAAAACCAATTGCCATATTTTGTTCTTGCTTTAAAGTTTAAAGCCTGAACTTTTTTTCTGATTGAATAAAATGTTTTATTTATTTACTTTAAATTTTTTTTACAGAAAACTAGACTGAAATAGTTGTATTTTGCTTTTCCAGTGCTGCAAAATTTATCTTTAATATTTGTTTAAAATCTGTACTATATAACAAGACATACATTCACAACACTTTTTAGTTTTGTATTAAAAAGTTATTATTTTTTGCCCAAAATTAAATAATACAGCACAAATATTTATTTGAGAATATAAATCTTCTCAATATAAATCTTAACAACCCCCCCCCCCCCCCCCCCAGGAAAAAGAGCAGCTTGCATCTCATATATTGTTGCCCAAAATGAAATAATACAGCAAGACTATTTCTTTGAGAATATAAATCTTGAACCCCCAAACCTTATTTAAAGGGGACCTATTATGTCTCTTTTTACAAGAGGTAAAATAAGTCTCTGATGCCCCTCAAAATAGCCCACAGATAGTTTTTCTGCCTATGAAAGGATCTTTGATCTAAATTGTGCCATTTTTAAAAAGTGGGTGGAGCTACAAATGCCTATGTGTTAGCATAGCGGCAGATTCAAAAACAAGACTAACGTCCTATGCTAATAAGGAAGAGATTGTCACTAATGGGTGGGGCTTTCCCCCTCTGATGACATGTACAATGGTAGAATGTCAATCAAAGTGTTTCTGCAGACCGTTTTCATCAAGTGTGATCATAAAAACAGAACTAATTAATTTTTACCATTAGAAGCTGGTTATACTCTCACACTGTTGCCCCACAACTGTTTAAACCCCGTATAAAAGTGATTTTTGCATAATAGGTCTCCTTGAATTATAAATAATCCTATCAATAGCTATAAATCTGTCATTTACTTCATAATCCAGGTCCAGGTGGTCAAACTCTCCGTTAGTGCGGAAGCTCTGTTTGTGCTGGTCGAGTGTGAAGTTGATGCTGCGTCTGTAGCGCTCGATCAGAACCGAGTGCCACTGGTCGTCATCCAGCAGACTCCCACTCGACGCTGATGTGTGACCCTGAATGGAGCCGTACTGATTACTGCCTGAAATAGACACAAGCATCAAACGCCATTAGTGAAACGGGTCAGATCAATCAAACAGGTCATACGTTAGTGGAGACCATGATATTTTTTTCTATTCTTGATTAATAGAACGTTCCAGCATTTGAACAGCAATTTTTGTCTTTACTGTCACTTCTGATCAATTTAATGCATCTGAGTATAAATATACATATATTTAAAGGAGTCCTGAATCTTAAAAAATCTTATTATTACATTATTACCGTTGAAGTCAGAATTATTAGCCCTCCTAAATTGTTAGCCCCCCTGTATTTATATATATATATATATATATATATATATATATATATATATATATATATGTATGTATATATATATATATGTGTGTGTGTGTGTGTGTGTGTGTGTGTGTGTGTGTGTGTTGAATATTATAGTTTTATTTTCTTAAAGCAACACAGAGCAATACAAAAGGCAACAGTTATAAAGACAAAACAGAAAAAGCTAAAAAAAAAGGACATAAGGAAAAAAAAAATATTTTAAAACCATTATTACATCAGTTCCGCCAATATTATACATCAGTCAACAATGTTACACATACATATCTAGGCTAGTGTGCCTAGACAATATGGTGATCATGCAGATAATTAAAAAAAGGGTTTCCAGGTGGCTTCAAAGCCGGCAATGTTATCAAAAAGACTGTGTCTTAGTCTCTAAAAATGTAAAGTGGAAGAGAATTCTGAAAGCCAGGATTTAAAAACGGGTTTTGATGCCTTTTTCCATAAAAATATTTTTTTTGGCTAACACCATTTTAAATTGAACAGCTTTTTTAAATTGATGACTGAACTCATGAAGTGAGTCAGACCCCCTATTTATTTTTTTCCCAATTTCTGTTTAACCGAGAGAAGATTTTTTCAACACATTTCTAAACATAATGGTTTTCATCTAATAACTGATTTATTTTATCTTTGCTATGATGACAGTACATAATATTTGACTAGATATTTTTTCAGGATATACTAGTATTCAGCTTAAGTGACATTTAAAGGCTTAACTAGGTTAATTATGTTAATTAGGCAAGTTAGAGTAATTAGGCAAGTCATTGTATAACGGTGGTTTGTTCTTTAGACAGTCAAAAAATATTGCTTAATAATATTGACTTTAAAATAATAAAAAAATTTAACTGTTTTAATTCTAGCTAAAATAAAACAAATAAGACTTTCTGCAGAAGAAAAAATATTACAGCAAATACTGTGAAAAATTTCTTGCTCTGTTAACTAAAGTAAATTTTTCTATAAAGTAGCTCATTCTTCACCAGTCAACTCCACTCTGCGTCTCAAGTCCACTGACGTACATGGCGAGCTAACTAGACAAACTGGTTACAGCAGGAAGCATCCATATTGAGGTAATCAATCAGCTGGTACTGTAAGCGCGAAAAGGAACGACTTCATACCGCCCCGTAGTGTTCATTTTAAAGATAAAATGCAGCCATACGTACTTCTGGCTTTATAATTCGTGATTTTTCAGAATGAGCCTATGTTTCATTATCCAGTGTTAAGATAATCACGTGTAGCCCACCATTAATTCATGTTCAACCAGTTTTTTGACTACCACTATAACAAGATATAAAATGAGACCTAAGACATGATCCCATTGCACTTTTCGCACCATAAGGTACTATTCATGTATTTAAAAGTATACTAATAATATTTACCTAAGTAGGTTAACCTACTAGGTAAGTTAGGTTAATAAGGCAAGTCATTGTATAATGATGGTTTGTTCTGTAGACAATCAAAACAAAATATTGCTTAATAGGGCTAATAATATTGACCTTAAAATGATTTTAAAAAATTAAAAACTGCTTTTATTCTAGCCGAAATAAAACAAATAAGACTTTCTCCAGAAGAAAAAACATCATAAGAAACACCGTGAAAAATTCCTTCTCTGTTAAACATCATTTGGGAAATATTTAAAAAGGAGAAAAAAAAACAGAAGGACGAATAATTCAGACTTCACATGTATATATAAATTATTTTAAAATGAAAAACTTTACCCAGGTTGATCTGCAGCTGTAGTTTGGCTCGCCGTAGCTCTAGCGTGATATAATCTCCCTGTTGTCCCTCCCCATGCAGCAGGACGCCGTCACCTTTAGAGGTCTTAAACTTCAGCGATATCACATCCTTCAAGATCTTCATCTTCTTCTGTCTGAAGCGATAGGAAATCACTCCCTGGCCATCGAAGCTGATCACATCTGCCCCTGAAAGCGGGAATATGGGTCAATCTAATGAAGTCTTTCCCAGATCTACGCTCAAAACAACTTTGTGATGCAACTGAGGTGAAACTGAACATATTGGCTTTTAAAGAAACCATATTTTAAATTATAATGCTGAATTATTTTTGATCTTTAAATAAGCATTTCTTGAATTATGCATATTTCCACATTGGGAATTCAACCATAGCCCAAAGAGGTCAAACACAACACTGCAGAAGAGCCTAGAGCCCCATTCACACAGGGCATCAGCGTCAACGCTTCCCATTCACTTTGAATGGGTGACGTCAGGCGTTGCCGAACTGCATTGTGGGTCCGTCGGCGCCGCTTCAGAGGCGTTGCTCGCTGCAGAAGTTGGGACTAGCTCAACTTTTCAACAGAAGCGTCAGCCAATTAGATCGCTATATGCAAATAAACCAGCTAGACAGTGGCCTATTGTTGACTGAATTTCATTGGCTGACGCCTCTATGATGATCGCTTCAGCCCCAACTTCAGACACGCCTTCAGTCAAGCGTTGACGATGAAGCCCACGTGTGAATGGAGCGTAATCCTGAAGTGTGATGGAATTATAGAGGAACTGACAACAATATACCATATTTTACACAACAGAGGGCAAATTTAGCAACTTATATTGCAACTTATTTAATACAATTAATACCAATTAGGCAAAAATTGTGTGGACATGCATGTTTTTGTTATTCACAAGCAGTGATGGGAATAATGGCGCTATAAATAAACGGCGATACATTTTTCAGTAGCACATAATCAATTGAATTACCGTTTCCTCTATTACAACGGCATTACCGCTACTGAGAATAAAATGCTCATTACTATAATTGAGAACACTGAAGGTCCTGGAGGGCCGGTGTCCAACAAATTTTAGTTCCAACCCCAATCAGACACACCTGGGCTAACTAATCAAGCTCTTACTAGGCTTTCTAGACTCATCCATTCAGGTGTGTTGAGGCAAGTTGGAGCTAAAATCTGCAGGACACCAGCCCTCCAGGACCGAGTTTGTACACCCCTGACATAGGATCTTTCTCTGGGGTGGGTGTGTGTGTGTTTGGGGTTCGGGCAGGACACATTACCAACCAGTGATGATGATTGGTGTGTCTATGAATGTGGTGTAACTGAGAATGTGATGATTGGCTTAGATAGAGTACATTTCCATCGTTTGCCAATCAGAGGTAGAGTAGGCGGGTGTTCACACATGCACAGTCAGTGGCAAACACCAATGACCATGAGTCAGAACGATGGTAAATCCAACAAGTTTAAAGGTAATGTTTGTAAATTGAAAATATAAGCACGACTTTTCCCTTCATGAGGTAAGAGGCAAGAATGTTAATGTATCGTGCAATATATACCCAGGAAAAATAGAGTCTCTCTGCATTGGTGACAAGTATTCCTAATCTAATGAAGCACCTTAAGTTTTGTGAGTGCCTAACACTGTTCACAAGTGACTAGTTTCAGCTTTGCTTTAAATAAATTTGTTTAGGCTTTAATAACATATTTTGTTCATAGTGAATGCCACTATTATTTTAGTTTTATTCTTACTTTCATAATGTTCTGAAAATGTATATTATATAAGTTAACTAGGTTAACTTGGTTTGAGTCTTGTTCTTTTTTTACAATACCAGTACTAAATCCATGAAAATTCTGAATTTGAGTTGTGAAGTATAGACAAATACCAGCAAAAATAAATTGAGCAGTGGCAAAAAAAAAAAAAAGCTACAGAAATAGATTTTGCAAAAATTTTGAGAATTTCAACATTTTGCCATCCTCATCATGTCGCTCTAGGCTAGGTTATGACAACAACCGCCACTCTCAGCTAGTTTATAATAGCAGATGCCACTCTAAGCTACTTTAAAACAACACATTGGGCCCTATCATACACCCGGCACAATGTGGTGCAAGGCGCGACGCAATTGTTGTTTGCTAGTTTCAGCGTGGTGCAAAACGTCAAAACGACTCTTGCGCCAAGCTGAAACTAGCAAGCAACAATAGCAAATGCATTGGCGCTCATATGTGCGCTCACAGGCGTAAAGGAAAGGAAAAAAAGGAAGGCGTGTTGAGGCACATTGATGGCGTGTTGCTATTTTGAGAAACTATAATAGATTGTTCAATAGACCAGAACAAAGCCGGTCTAAAGTCCAGCGCAGAGCGCGTTAGTTGTGCGCCTCGCTTACACACTGCTTAATACACACAATATGTAGAGCAATACGCAAATATCTTTACATATGAAAAAGAATTTAAATATTAAGGATATATATATATATATATATATATATATATATATATATATATATATATATATATATATATATATATATAGGATATAATAAGAATATATATAAAGGATTAAAATATTACAAAACATATTATTTTCTAGCCTACATAAATATAAAAACCACTGCCTTTATGCCTTCTTCATCTCAGGGGCTTTTTCAATTAATTTGTGACAATTTGCTTTTGTATAATATTAATGTTCTTATTATTAGCAGTATTTTTTATTATATGCATATTTATATTTGTTTTATTAAAAACAAGCTTAGATTTGCTCACCTGTCGGGTTTTAGACCATATGGGGCACAGCATGTGTGTTTGGATATACTCAGTTTTTTGAGCACACTTTTTTTCATTTATTTTTTATAAATATTTTTCATTTATTCGTTTGCTGGAAATTAGAACTGAATTTAGAAATAGTTTTGAAACAAATCTTTGCGCTTAACAAACAAAATTAATTATTTATAGGCTAATGGATCCAGATCCACGGCGCAAAGCGGATTTTTCCATCCTTATATTGGCAAAAGTGGATTCTGACATGCCCTTAATGCGTTTGCGCCCTGTGCTTCGCGTATAGATCGTCAAATTAGAGCCCTAATGCTGCGTTCACACCAGACGCAACACGCAATTGAGCGTTTTGCGCGTTTGACGCGCTTAACGAGCGTTTCGCGCAAATTTCTCGATTTCGAAAATCTAAACTTCAGCGGACATTCGCGCCGCGTTAACAAATCAGAAGCTTGCTCTTGTGGGGGTGTGATTGTGACGTAGAACCTGTTGTCGGTGTTCCGAGGGAAATCCTCCAGCCTTCACCGACAACAATCATCAAACTCGGCTTGGCTCAGTCAGAAGCACCGCTGAAAAGTTTCTGGAGGAGTTTATGAGCTCACAGAGCTGGATGCACCTCTGAAAGAATGTAGTGGACTCAGACACGACCCTAAACGTATCAACGCTGTTTTTTAGTTTTCATAAGCACATAAACACTGTTATTTTCTTCATGAAATCCATGTTAGCCATTTAGCTATGAAGCTAGAGTCTTCGGGCAGACAGAAGCCCTGCCCATCACGCGAATCCGCGTCTGTTCTGATGTGAATTTAACAAGCGAATGAAGCGGGGTTTGACGCGCGTATGAAGCGAGTAAACTCAAATGTTCATGCGGCTATTTACGTGCGAATAGCGCGATTTATCCGCGCGTTCCGCGTCTGGTGTGAACACAGCATTAGTGCTCTAGTAGACTATTGTCTAACAGTAGATGGGGCTGTAGGCTAGTTTTTAGCAGCAGATGGCGCTCTAAGCTAGTTTAAACCAGCAGAAGCCGCTCTAAGCTAGTTTTTAACAGCAGACAACGTTCTAGGCTAGTTATTAACCGCTGATGGTGCACTTGGATAGTTTATAACAACACCCTAAGCTAATTTGTAACAGCAGAAGCCGCTCTAAGCTAGTTCATAACAAAACATGTCACTCTAGTAGGCTAACGTCTAAAAGTGCTTTAAGCTAGTTTTTTTTAACAGTAGATGGTACATTAAGCTATTTTTTAAAAGAAAAGGGTGCTCTACGCAAGTTTTTAACAGCAGATGGTGCTCTAAGCTCATTTTTAACAGCAGATGGTGCTCTAGGCTAGTTTTTAACAGCAGATGGTGCTCTAGGCTAGTTTTTAACAGCAGATGGTGCTCTAGGCTAGTTTTTAACAGCAGATGGTGCTCTAGGCTAGTTTTTAACAGCAGATGGTGCACTTGGATAATTTATAACAACAGACACCACTCTAAACTAGTTTATAACAACACATAGCACCCTAGTAGGCTAATGTTTAACAACAGATAGCACTCTAGGCTAGTTTTTAACAGTAGATGATGCTATAAGCTAGTTTTTAACAGCAGATGCTTTTCTAGGCTTGTTTTAACATCAGCTGGCGCACTAGGCTGATATGTAACAGCAGATAACTCTCTAGGCTAGTTTTTACTTACAGTAAAAAAGCTCAAAAGCTTGAAGCGTTTAAATTTGTAGTCTGGTTCTCTTGTTTCATTTGGTCGGGTTCAGTTAGCATTCATATGAAGTTTAATTTTTTCAACACTCACAGTAAGCACAGCCATAGATTTCCACCCTCAGGCCAGTTCTGCCCTCCTCGCTCCAGTCCAGTGGGATGAAACGCACATATCGAGCCACAAATGGGTGCTGAAGTTCATGTCGCACGGCTCGCTCTGAGTTCCAGTTACCTGAAAATGTCTGAGGCAGAAAGAAGAGTTTGCAGTTTGTAAAAAACACAGGGAAAACCTCCTGCTGTGAGTGAGATGCTTCATTACTGCAGCTTCTGAGTACACAGATCAATAAAACAGACTCTAACGCATTTCCATGAGAAATGGCTTTGCATCTTAATCTCTGTGATCGAGCATTTCAGTTTAATTATGCAAGGAGGGAATAATTTGTGGTGAGGAATGAGCTTTTCCTAGAGAGTAATGAGATTAAATGGAGAGCATATGACAACTCAGTTGTTTCTCGGTCTCTCTAGCTCTAAAAATATAACATAAAATTAAATAAAAGTTCAAAGTTTCAATATAAATTCAAGCATTTTCAAGTATAGTATTTATTTTATTAAATAATATTGAATTACATTTTGTTTATATTTTCATTTTTAATTAAAATTTTACTTAGGTTTACAGTAGTGTTTATTTTTATATCAGTTTTGGCAAATTTAGTATTTTTCAGTAGCCTTCTAACTTATTAACTTATGTAACAATATTTTATTTTATTTAAATTTATTTTATTTAAATTTATTTTAATTTAAGTGGCAACAAGTACCTGTCTTAGTGAGTGATTTATTGAATCATTCATTCAAATTTGATCAGGAAGCAACTGTTTGCATGGCTTTGGTTGCATTCGGTCCAATTTATATTTTATATTATTTATTTAATATTATATATATTTATTTAATATTATATTATATATTATAATTTGTATGCCGCTTATTCACTTGAGTATTATTATTATTATTATTATTATTATTATTATTATTATTATTCATTCATTCATTCATTTTCTTTTCGACTTATTCCCTAAACTAACCCAGGGTCGCCACAGCGGAATAAACCGCCAACTTATCCAGCACATGTTTTTACGCAGCGGATGCCCTTCCAGCCGTAACCCATCTATGGGAAACATCCATACACACTCATTCACACAATTCACCTGTACCGCATGTCTTTGGACTGTGGGGGAAACCGGAGCACCCGGAGGAAACCCACGCGAATACAGGGAGAATATGCAAACTCCACAAAGAAACGCCAACTGACCCAACCGAGGCTTGAACCAGCGACCTTCTTGCTGTGAGGTGACAGCACTACCTACTGCGCCACTGCGTCACCATTATTATCATTATTATTATTTATATTAGTACTAGTATTATTATTTTGATTATTAATATTAGTATTAGTATTATTATCATTATCATTAATTAATTAATAGTATACAATAATATGATTTATTATATTTTATAAAAAAAACTAATTATTTAGAAAAAAGTAAGAAACTTATTAAAGTTACCAAATTACGTCATTACTTTCAGCTAAACTTTGTAGGTCATGTGCGTTTTTTGTAAGACAGCAGCAGCTGCTACTTTCAGATTCATTCATTCATTCATTCATTTTCTTTTCGGCTTAGTCCCTTTATTAATCCGGGGTCGCCACAGCGGAATGAACCGCCAACTTATCCAGCAAGTTTTTACGCAGTGGATGCCCTTCCAGCCGCAACCCATCTCTGGGAAACATCCACACACACATTCACACAAACTCATACACACTCATACACTACGGACATTTAGCCTACCCAATTCACCTGTACCACATGTCTTTGGACTGTGGGGGAAACCGCAGGACCCGGAGGAAACCCACGCGAACGCAGGGAGAACATGCAAACTCCAAACAGAAACGCCAACTGAGCCAAGGCTCGAACCAGCTACCCAGCGACCTTCTTGCTGTGAGGCAACAGCACTACCTACTGCGCCACTGCTTCGCCCCTTTCAAATTCAGTAATGCCTAAACAACATTTACTCCCTGAGCCACAGTTTTCCTTGTAAACTCACCCATATGTTGCTGTCCTGCCGATAGGGTTTCCAGTTGCTTCCAGTGTCGCTGTACAGGAGCCTGTAGTTTTTGGTCCAGTCTGAGCTGCTGTATCTGCCCTGCGTTGCGATGGCTGTGATCTGTTTTCTGGCCCGGAGGTCCACCTGTAGCCACCGGTACCTGTCCGAGTCTGATGGTGACCATCCGCCATTGCCTTTCAAAGAGGAAGAACAATGGAAGAAAACAACACTAGATGCCAAGTTTGAATTACGATGCTTTAGTGCACACCGCAGCTTCATAATGCACCATTAGCACCATATTTCCTCAACGCTGGCCAGCATGCATTAAAATTCATTATGACCCATAGAGATGTTTTCCTCAATTCTGCAATCTAAGCAAATCCTGATGCATCCTTTATACTTTATCTGCAGTGAATCAGACTTTATATCTCAGTCTAAATGTCAGGCAGCGAGTAGAGAGCATGATACTGACACACAGGCTGATTTTCATATGCAGAGATGAACTACAATGTTCACAGAATGTATTTCCACAATATAATGGAATGCACAACCTTACTCTTACACTGTAAAAAATGCAGGGTTCTACACAATTCCCTCATGTTGTCCCAACACAAATTAAATAATCAAATAGAGCATAAAAACAACACACACACAGGCACAGACTTTGCTGAGTCTTCTGTATTGAATTAGGTCAGTGCTTAATTTGTGAATTACGAGGTCCCAGAAAAGATCGGGGTAATGGATCCAGGATGTTACCCGAGGATGGAAGGGTGTTGTTGGGGGTGGGGGTGGATGTTGGAGGGGTGTCATGGACGAAGGACGAAAGTGAAGAGTAGGGGGGTTGTCGTGGAGTGAAGAGGGTTGGGGAGTCGCGGAAGAAAGTGAAAGTGAACAGCGGACGGGGGAGGAGGGCGGTTGAGGAGGGGGGTCGGTAAAAATGAGGTGCCAGATCCGATTTCAGACGTGCCGGATCCGGGATGTTCCGGCACAATTAAGCCCTGGTCGAGGTACAACGGAGGATCGTCAAGCAGGCAAAGGTCAAAACAGGGACAGATAGGAGCATGCAGATAATCCAAAAGCGAAGTCAGAATACAGGCGAATGGTCGGGACAGGTGGCAAAACAACATAAACAGTAAAACAAAGCAAAGGTCAAAAACATGGCATGACAAGGAAAAATGTTCCAGTAATGCTCCCTTACAGATCACAAGACTCAGCAAGGGTGTGTGTGCTGTTTTTATGGTTCATCTGATTAGTCCATCATGAGCTTCCAGCTGCATGTGTGTATCAAGGGGAATCAGAAACTAGTGTGTGTGAGGTGCATGATGGGAGTTGTGGTTCATTAAAATGGCATATGTGTAGTTCTTCAGTGATCTGCACAGGCTTGATCGCTGGTGATTGTGACAACATGTAACACTAAAATTAACATTTTAAATTTTAATATATTTAAAAATATTTTTTTCCACAAAACATCAGTATAAGCAAACACATGAAGCATGAACATGAATATACAATATTTGTAACAATTATAATAATCAGAAACATTTCTGTAATGTTTCTTTAAAAACTCAGCCTTGCATCACAGAAACAAATGAGATTTTTTAATGTATTTAAATGGAAAAAAGGTAGCTCAAACTGTAATTGTATTTCACAGTATAATTGTTTCTCCTGTATTTGATCAAATAAATGCAATCCTGGTGCTCATAATCTAATCAAAGTACTTTAGTTCTAGTTCTCCATTGTGAGCATGTTCTCACCTACTCTCCTGTTGAGTTTTGCATAGCCGGCACCAAAATCCGCTGCCAGCACAGAGGAGCTGGTGAAGGCGCTGTAGGGAAGCGGTGAAGCCAACACCTCATCACACCTCTCTGGAAAAAAGAAAACAGAAAAACATATGTCTGAAATTATTTTTTTTTATTTTTTTAAATAGTACAGACTTAACAGCAAACAGATGCATGAGACAAGGGGGAGAGAAAGAAAGAAAAAGAACATATGATACACATCGCATAAATGAGTACACACCGCACAGATCTCTCTTTTAAAGTTATATTTTCTATTGGGTGCTATGCAGTAATACATTTGTGCATATACAAATTAGTCATTACCAAAGCCAAAACTAGAGCTAATTTAACAAACTAATTTGGGATCATTGTCTAAAAAAAACAGTATGCCCAAAATTATGTTAGGCAGAATGAAACAAAAATCAAGAGAAACATAATATCCCTAATTATGTTTGGTGACAAAATGTGTGTGTGTGTGTGTGTGTGTGTGTGTATGTGTGTATATATATATATATATATATATATATATATATATATATATATATATATACATATACAAGATGAAAGTGTGTGTGTGTGTGTGTGTGTGTGTGTGTGTGTTGGGGGGTGGTGGGGGGAGGGGGTGGCTTGGATGCTGCGGGCCCTTTATAATGTCTTTTGGGCCCCCCTAAATGTATGGGCCGTTAGAATCATCCTAATCATCCTAACTCCACTATATATATATATATATATATATATATATATATATATATATATATATATATATATATATATATATATATATATATATATATATATTAGGGATGGGAAGATTAACCGATATGTATCGATACGCGGTCATGCGCGTGCACGATGCGAGTGCATCGGTAGAGCAGCAGAGGACTAATGAAATTTTGGAAGCAAATCGAGATGCATCGGTTTTTGCGAGATGCATCGGTTTTTCCAAGATACAACTTATATTTTTAATATAGAATGTATTTTTTATTTATTAACAAGTGTTGTCAACCTGTTTTTGGCGCATAATTTAATCGACCTACATAAAGTATGCCTTAGCAACGGATTTGCGGATGTGTACACTTACACTACAACTCAGTGTATCATGTGTGCGGATGAAGCGAGTGGTGCGACCTCAGAAAGCGCGAGAAGCAAAACAAACATTTTATTCCCCACTGGGTTTAAAATCTAAAGTATGGAAACATTATGGATTTAAGGATGGACGACTTGACTGGACAAATGCAATTTGCAAAATGTGCTGCACATCTGTAAAATACACGGGCTGTACGACTAATCTGAAATCTCACTTGAAGCGGCGCCACGGTGTTGTTGTGGAAGCATCTTTCAGTGTTCCTGCATCCCCGGCTTTCGCACTGCTTCAACTGTAGCTACCAGCTCCAAAAGTGGTGAGAAAAGCATTGCAAGTTTTTTCCAAGCGCAACAGTTTTGTGCGCTCTACGCCAATAACGGATGCTATTGCATTGTTCATCTGTAAAGATATTCAGCCTAGAGAACGAAGGTTTTAAACACCTCCTCCTGTTAATTTTTATTTAATTATATTTTTATTAGCCTGTTGTTTACAGTGACAGTGATGTTTCAAAGCAGCATAACACTGCTAGTTCACCACCTTAAGTTTTGAATATTCAGTGGCAAAATATATCTTTGTAAAACTTGTTTTCATAGTTGAAAAGTTAAATCACAATTCTTGTTGTGCAATGCTCAACCTTTATGTTGAAAGAGTGCAAATATATATATATATATATATATTTTTAATATATATTGCACTTATACATTCTGTTTATCTTGAAAATACTTAAACAATATGTGCTATATGTTCTAAAATGGCCCTCTACTGTAAACTGACACTGGCTCTGAGAGAACAGCCAGTTTGTAAAAAAAGTCTTGGTTTTGCTTGGTTAATAAATAATCAAACTCATTAAATGGCACAGCATCCTCTTTCACATAATCTCATGAACTTGATCTAATTACATGTATATATATATATATATTAGGGATGTAACGGTATTGTAAATACCAACATACCGCAATATTATTTTTTTTCGATATTATTGTAGTCGCATGACTCTGTAAAACTATAGGTCTTCTGAGAAAATTTGCTCAGGCGAATGAAGCGAACGGGAGGTACCGGAAACTACAATTCCCATCAGCCCAGGCTTGGCCATAATCCCTTGCGGTCTGTTGTCGCTACAGATCCAGTAATGCGGAAATGGAGTGTGCTGCTAGAAGCGGGGATCAAAAAGAGCTGGAAAACCCTAAAGCGGGTGTTGTCGCCGCGCGCGTACTGAATAGTGGTGTTGTCGCGCGAGTTCTTATCAGCTGTGTTGTCGCGCGCGTTCTGAATAGCGGTGTTGTCGCGCGCGTACTGTAAAGCGGGGACAGAGGGTATGTCGCGTCGCAGGGGCACTTTTGATCATTTTGGAAGGGAACTTTCTATCCAAGGCTAAAAAGGGCATGTGCACTGCACAGGTTAAGCACTGTGTGTGTACGTGCCTGCAAGTTGGGGAATATGACTAATAATCAGTCATGGGGACTGCAGAAACACAGCACACTGTTCAGATTGATGCAGACATGAGATCTCTATCTCACTCATGGTTTGTTCTCTCAAGTGGGGGAAAGACAATGCACAACGTTACCCACTGCTGTCAACCTGGGCCAAGTCATATCTCTGTCCCAGAAACCTCAGTCCCAAATGAGAGGGTTTTTTCTGTTGCAGGGGACATTGTAAATACTCAGAGATACCAGCTTTTACCAGATTATAGTTATATGATAATTTTCCTTAAAACCCATCTCTATCTAAGTGAGTGAGTGAGAGATTAAATGTTGAATGTGATGAGTTTTCAACAATACTAAATTGAAACTTAATTTTTTTACATGGTTTAATATTTTTTTGTAATTAAAATTGAAGTTCCTGTTTCAAAGCTTACAGATAGATGGCTAATTTGTATGTCATTGACACTTTTGGCACTTTTTTGGAGTATTTTCACAAGTTTTGTTTTTTCCTGTAAATGATTCAATAAATACCGTACCGTGACATTCATACCGAGGTATTACCGTACCGTGAAATTCTGATCCCGTAACATCCCTAATATATATACACACACATATATATTAAACAAGAAGCAGTGCTTCGAGTTACACAGAGTCTCAATACCCTTTTGTAAGAAAAACCATTTTGTGGCAGAACATCTTCGTTCTGCTCAGTACAACAGGCTGATGGCTGTGAACATGGTGAATCTCTGAAAATATAAATATTTAAAGTATAAAGCAGTATACTGTATACAATATATATATTTAACGTATAAAGCAGTTTATCTTTATAGATATAACTATTGCATAGTTTCAATCTAAACAATTACATTCTTGCCTGAAAAAGCCTCAAAAGTACATTATTTTCTCCAACAGCTGCAATATTTATCAAACTGTGGTGAGTTTATGCTGTCACTCTATGTGGGCAGAGTAATATACAAGAGCGAAGAGGCTGTACGAGTGCTGATATTATGGGAATACGGCTTTCAGCCAGTCAGATTCAAGAACCAGACAGAACTGGTGTGTGTGTGTGTGTGTGTGTGTGTATATATATATATATATATATATATATATATATATATATATATATATATATATATATATATATATATATATATATATATATATATAAACATATTCATACTTCAAAATCTTTCACCAGTTCACCAGTTCATCTTTAATCTAACCCTCTGATAAGTATATACCTATACATGTCTGAAATATTCCTGAACAGACTGAACAGAGACAGCCATTCATACGTTTGCCATAAATGCTTATAACAGAAGATAATATTTTTGAAATAAATGCATAGATGCCAACATTGTACTCTTTAGTGAGACTGAAAGCATTTAAATGCACACCAATAAGCTAATAACACAGAATCATCTTGTTGAAATAACCCTTTACATGCAATACAATACCCTGACAATCAAGTAAACGAGACCCTATTATTAATTAATAAATCAGTTTGTTTCCTGGTAGTGGCTAACATGTTAATACGCTTCTGTCAATCAATATCGGTGGGTGGGGAAAACTGCTAAATCACAGTGCACTTAAAAAATCACTAGGATTTGGATCCTATTTTAACATCAGAAACTTAAAAAAAAGATCCCCGTCTGATCAATTATGTATAGATACAAACATTATAATCACGATATTCGATAATATTACATTTCACTGTGAGCATGTATTATTAGTACAATTGGCGTTCCCTTTTTGCGTCTGAGAAAGCGTTTGGACCCAGAAACTGTGACGCATGATGTCAGGCTTAACAAGTACGCTGGCATTTTTGTACGTTACTGATTTACAAGAGTCAGGATTAATCTATTAAAGGGATTTCTGTTGCTGTGCTTTAAACATGAAAACAGCAGCAACTCTGTAACCTCTCTGCTTTGTTAGAGAGCCTTGAGAAGTGGAGCATGTCTCACTGAGGTCCTTGATGTTTCAGTGCTGCGGGTGCGGTCAGTCTGCAGGGTTTAAATAGGCTCCTTGTAACCCAATTTATCAGGCCAGAGGCAAAATTCAAGGCCACAATCTGAGCAACACTGAGCAAAACAGGACATTTAAAAACAATGTTATCAAATGCATATAGTTCTTTGTGTTATTTTATCTAAATGTTATAGGAGTTTTCATTATGACTTTCAGTGTAGCTTATATTTGGGATATATTTTCATTTTTGAAGTTTAGTCACTTTGTTGTTTTGTAATTTTTTGGTATGTCATTAGAGCTGTATTCATTTTTATTTTTGTTTTATTTATATTGGTACAATAGGGTAAAAAAATTAAAATAGGAAAATACTAAAATAAAATGACCATTTGTATATATAATATATAGTTTATATTCATATATAAAACATAAAAAAAGAAAGATAATAAAACATAATTTAAAAATACACAGATTTTAGATGCAAAAACCTCTTAATGCCACTTGAGATTTTCTTCTGAAATCAGCCCTTTTCTCAGATCCCTGTGTGTAGACTTAATAATTTTAGTAGAAAATTTCAGATGGCATTTAGAGATTTTTGCATATAAACTATTGAACTATTG